AGAGCTCTACGGAGTGTAGTTTGAGATTATCATACACGGTGAGGCTATTAACATTTCGCAATCTTACAGATGGTTCTTCCGAATAAATCAGTTTAGTAGAGTCGTAATATAAATCCTTTTAGTTCTCCTAATTTGTAAGGTGTTATCACTGCATCAAGTTTTAGCAATCTGAGTAAGTATTGTGTTGGGAAACCTTTGTGAGATACCATGAAGTTTATTACATTTCACGCACGATCCGCCAAACAGAATGTACGAAATCAAAATGGGAGTTATTCTATTGAATAACTGATTGTGTCAGAGTAGTCCGGCTTACTTTTAATCAACAGAACTTATCATTTGGTGTGGTAATCAACGATGTCTTTGGGATATCCATAAACCATCAAAGTTTGTTTGATGAACTCTTCTCTTTTACCAGGTTGTTAGGAAGAAAATGTGTTGTGCCCAGTGAAGAACAGTTTTAGCTAATTCGTGATTGTAAACCACTGGAGCAAACTTTGAACATTACGTAACAATCATTTGGACTAACAGTGGCTTTTTCGTTGAAACTTGATTCCGAGGTGTGTATTTCTCAATTTGTCTTCGTCCGTTGTGATCAACTGGATAAAGCCAACCCATTGATTGAAATTGTAAGATTTCACTGGAATTATCGATGCACATTCCTGTTCATAACATACAAAATGAACTTCTTTATTTTTACGGATTTACTTCGTGAAATCATTTTGGCTTCCTCAGATGATTTGGAATTCTTTTTGTTACCCAATGGTCAGTGAATTTATATTTAAACAAAACATGATAACCACTGAAAAGATTCCATTAAAATTTGGGGTGTGGTTTCAGTTCAGCCGCGTTTAGGATGACACGAACTCCTCGTGTGACGCGAGGGAATGAATTTTCTGTATGCTGCTCCTGCATAGTTTCACCCGTAAGCGTTTCACCACCCATAATTAATACACCCGAGATTAGGAGATATTGTTGTCCGGGAATGCAAATGATCAATCTAAAAAGAAGTTTAAATCACTGTTTGGCAGTTTCATTGGATTTGAACATTACGATCGCTCTAGTGTTGGTTTGGATTAGCTCGTTCCAAACATCTGATAGAAACGTTCTTCAAAGGACTTGAATTAAAAATTATTAACTTGTCCGTGTTCCATCACGCAGGTGAGAATTTTGTAACACAACCGATCTCCTGTTATATCATACACCTCACCAAGTCGCTAAATCGGGCAAATTCCAGAAACTATGCATTAGCACTAGATGCTACTCCGTACCTTGAAATGTCGACCGCAATTTCGTGGAAAAATAACCCGAATCGATGGAATATACGTAAATTCCACTACTTGATCCAAACGTTTATTATAAAAACAGTTAAATTACAACGGAACTTAGATGCACCTTATCGCAGAGCCAGTGGTTATCGAAACTCAGAAACTCCCATGAAGCCATTATCTTAATATTAATAAAATGCATTCACTATTCAACCCTGATGAAAGTTCAAGTGAGTACTTCGCCGAAAACTACTCACATTACTTCAGTTGAAAAAACTTTAGTCTAACTACCGCATATTAGGCCGCGTCTAACGAAAAAACTCATGTCAAAAGGTGCAAGCATCTACCGATCAGAGAGAGGCGGAATGCGTTGGTAATACTGAATCAGCCTGGTGTAACCAAATTATTTGATATTTCAAGAAAAATGATAATCGGCGAATTTGTGAACACCGAAGTCACCTGAAAACCAATGAAATGTTCAAGGCAGGGAATGAGGCGACCTTTACATGGTTTGCTGCTATGACGAAAACGCATGGAGAGTTCCCGATGATGGAGAGCATCGCTTGTAAGTAATCCAGCTGGCATAAAGAATACATCATGGTGAATTCAAGGCTTCCAATAGTTGGTTTTTCACGTGTATAAACAGATGTGATGTTCAGTCCTACAACGTAAGTGACAAGCAGATAATCATGTTCATTAGTTTGGAAGTTTGTGAAGAAGGTTTGGGAGTACCTCATGGTGTAGTGACTGCGTTTCGAGTGGGATTAGCGTAGTTGATTCATGAATATTCTGACAGTGAATATTACAAACACCTACTCGGCATTCAATTTATTACCGATAATCATTTTCCTAGGAATATCAAATGATTTGGCTACAGAGCTCCGATTTACACTTGGCTGATTCAGTATTTCCAACACATTCCGCCTGATCTCTAGGTGCTTGCACATTTTGACGACAAATGGCACTCCCTTCGATTACCGGCATCGGTGTGCCCTTTCCACAAGGGTTATCTAATCAGTGAACAGTGACATGTTCACATTACACCAGGTGAGACGTCATTGGCAAAATGTAACATAACAGGTTGGTTGACCAAACCGAACATCAGTCAACGACCAAGTGAGTAGGTATCACGAACTGCGACATATTGAGGACGGAGGGCGACATTGTGTATTCGGGATCTATGGAATATATTCTGGATCTATATGGATCTGCGCATATGGTTGGTTTAACTTTTCTGAAATATTGCAAAGTGTGACTTTTCATGAGTTCGACATTACAGGATAATGACTGTACCTTGTTGTGTGCAACAACCATGTACCTCATCATCACTGATTGCTGACTAACTGTCGGTTGATAGACAGGGTTATTCCATTGCCAGAAGATATATTGTGCCATGGACTTTGCAGTTGATTTGAAGGTTCTCTCGCGTTCTCTTTCTGCTCTAATGAAAGCCTTCATACAACTCTGCCGGCTCTTATCCATTTCTCTGCATCTCCTTCGATCACTTTTCGTGATTACCACAAGAAACAACTCTTTTTCCAAACTAATAAATAAATATTTTATTGTCCGTGGTTCTTTGTCGCATCACCGTCAGGATGTCAGCGGCATGCGCCTGGCACTGATTCTCTGTAAGAATCTCTCGATTTGATCCAGACGTTTTAAACACTATTCATATTTTATTGTGCAGTATAATTTATTCTTTACATAGGCATTCATTCTCTTGTCGAATAATATCTCTTCTGGGTTTGTGGGATTTATGTTGTTGGCGTTTTATTTCATAGGCATTCAAAATAATGAGAATTATATAAACATTTATGTTAGTGGCACCCCACTATTTCTCATTTTTTAGCTTCTACGGCTTACTGTACTTAATTTATTGATATAATGGACACTGTCATTTTTGCATCATTTTATTTATTGCAATGTTAGGCTGTTGATCAGTAGAGAGGAAACCAGCGTCCAACCGAAAAATAAAACTAACCACATGCACAAGCATTCTTCCTCTGTGTTTATTGAAACCAATATATTGTAAACAACTAGGGAGATAATTCCAAAGTTTCCCAGCACATTATATATTAATCACCCACAGATCTAATCGAAACTGAAGCAACAGGTCCCTGTGAGACACTTGTGTATTCGTATAGGCAACAGTATTTATACTAGAGTAAATGTTTTTTCAAATAATAATTAACAAGCCTTGGTGAGTCTTCATAGCATTGATTTTCCTGATTCGTTTATACTCAGCAGATGGAATAACTCAGAATGTACAGGATACTCCCATTTCATCAGTAGTGTTTGACCGACAGCATGACGAGTTAGGAGATAATTTAAGGGAATAGAACAGATTTTATTTACTACAAATTAACATTGATAATAATTAGGATGTAAAGTTTATGTACATTTATAGTCGATTGGTCTGCCCTTGTTCTTTAGGACTTTCGAGTCTCTTCGGCATGGAATCCAACTTTGTTATGAAGTCATTTTCTATTTTGTGCACCATTACGTATCGCACTTTTACCTCTAATGTCCAATGTGTAGGGAGCCCATTGACCTCTCTCTACAAAACAGAAAACAGATTTTCAATCACGTTGAGATCCGGGCTATTAGAAGGGAGTTGCATGAACTGAACCTTGAAGTCACGCATTTTTTCCGAAGTCTCCTTAACTAAATCAATTAAGTAACCTCTCGTGAAACATGACACGGAGCGTTATCCTGAAAAACGATAACTTTTCCAGACGATTTTTTTCATGAAATTCTGGAAACAATTTTATAATTACTGATACAAATTTCCCACTATTCATGGTACCTTTGACTGATGTCCACCGACAAGGCTGACCATGTTTTATTCCTGTCCAAATGAGCAATCTCGACGGGTGAGAAACAACAATACGAGCATTCAAAGCTGTACAAAAAAACGACCTTGATTTCAAGGTTGACTTTGGTTGAAATGGTATTTCTCTAATTCAGTGAGCTAAATATCAAACATAGATTATTATTGAGAAACCTCATTTATTGTAATTTCCCCGGGTCGCGGAACATTTTCATTTGGTTATTCAATAGAGTTGCTATAATGGATTATGTCGGATAAAAAAATGCCTCATAGCAAACATCCGAGGTGGAAATAATTTGGGATAATTCTTGATTTATTCCTATTAGAATATATTGCGTTTTCATACTTGATAAAGTTTGCGTTTTTCATGTTCAGATCATTTAATCTTAGCAACCAAGGTCATGCACGTTTAATAGACATTTATGCAGCCTAGAAACTACTTAGATCCCAGTAGACAAGATATAAATTATTGTCCATACATAAAGCATTAAAACAAGTAATAAATATAATCAAACTCCATTTGATCATGAAGAAAATATTTCAGTGCATCACAATCGACCATTACTATATGCGGATCTAGAACAAAATATGGTAGCTAGGTTGTAGGGTTCTTTTCACCTTCAAATTAACCTGACTTACAACCTATGGATTTCCCTGTATTCTGATTACCGTGGAAACTTTACATAATATAAAACAGTAATGAACGGAGAGAAATTTGAATGACAATAATTGGACTTTCCATAAAGAGGAATCAGTGTAATAGAACGTGTAAAATGGACTAGCTATTTATGGACTTTCTGTTTGCTACCTCATTTCTTCCACGCAGGAACCGTTTGTGAAATTGGCGTTCTCGGCATTTTTGGCGGCTCGTGGATTTGCCTATATCACATTTCACGTGGGTGCCGAATGGATCAACAAAACTGTCAACTGTGACGCAGACAAACCAGTGAATGACAGTGATATCTCTGCCAAATTCATGGAGAAAATTGAATGGGTGAGTTGTTTTTAATAAGTTCAATTTTCATAAATGATCAGATTTTCAGTCAGTCATTTGCGGGTAGAAATATCACTTCCCAAAACGAACATTGGTTGCCGCACTAGCATACTTCTTTGATCAAAGTTCTCCTTTGGTCTTATCAAGAAATTTGTGTCCAATAAATGCTAAACCCAGAGATGCATTATTTGTGTTCGCAATTGAAAGTAGTATTCTCTTAATATAACTGCAAAAGGGTACCACAATTTCAAATCCACGCCACGAAAACAATCGTAGACTGAATTAGCCGTAATTCCGCGTGGGTAAAGAACGGAAATTCTGTGAATTTATTTAAATGTATGATGAAAGAAGATGAAAATGTCTTTGTAATTTAAGTTTAAACGTCACTGCAGACAAACAAACGCTACAAATCTTTGGTCATGGCTGGTATGAAGCCGGAACACGCTGCTCCTAACATTTCTTCGGATAGTGTTCCAGTGTTTCCATCAATATTATCACTACCGTAAATCGAATCCGATGTTTTAAAGCGATTGCGGCGTTTACCAAATGATAAAATTCTCGAGATGCATATTAACTGGTGGTCGATTTCCAGCTAATTTTACTAAAACATAGTGGATAGCATATCATCAAAAGGGGAGACAAAACAAAACCATTTTACGGGAAATAGACAGATAGTAATCGGGTGGTGGAACATATTCTAAATTGGGTCCCAAATCAGCTGATCCAATTGAGGTCAAGTCCGCTGCATAGAAACGACGGTCGAAACTATAAGACCCCGTCCTCAACCATTGCTCGAAATTTACTGATGACGCAACACCAGGGTGACCGAGGCACAGCGTTTCGAATTGTCTACAAGTCACAAGTCGCAAGATTGCTAAGGTTTACTGAAGCGATTGTGATTAATCGATGGAAGCCCCCCTGTGTTAGCAAAAAGAACTTTATGTTAGGCTCTCCCTATCCTGGTGATATGGTCCATTACCCCTCCCTCTTTTATGTTTTGTCTTTTTTTAATGTATTTTGTTTTACTTTGTTGCTATGCAAAAGCCCTATATAAACATTGTATTTCTGCAGCATGCACCGTGTTTAGAACCAGCGAAATTGTCCTGGACGTAAATCGTGCAAATGGTTGCAATATGGTCTTTTCTTTTGAAATTATTCTCGGAAAAGTCTTGTTTCATATAGTAATAATGAGAAATAAATTACTGTAAAAGATATTTCATTAAACTTGCACTAATTGGTGCCAAGTTGACTAAAATCCAAGAAAGATAAGAGAAGACGCTGGTTCGGTGTGTGGTTGAGCTAGTGGGTAGGAGCATACACCAGGAGTGGTTACCGGAGTTTAAAAGACATGTAAGTAGCCCTTATACAAACCAGAGCTCTGTCGTACAAATTCTTAGTAGCTAGAATTTTGCATTCATTTTATTACTACATCGAGAAGGAAGTTTCAAGAATCTGCCCATTTATATGAGATATTTCCTCAAACAAACCGAGGAACAATGTAACCAATGCGGATGGATATATGCGGCCACAAATTTAAAATTCACGCTCGTGGGAAGATGTGACAATTGGAATTGTATTGAATATCGGAATACGAAAACCCTTACCTTAAGACTCAGAACTGTATTAGCGGACACCAATGAAACACACGGAGGAATCGTGGAGACAAGTGCATAAAGGAATCAGTTCAGTAGCATTGCGGACGCCATTTTGCGGCATATTTTTCGGAGGAGTAATATCACGAAAGATTATATGAACTAACTACCTATCATCAAGGTGGAAAGGAGTGACATTGTTTTCTACTCTGAACTGAGCTGATCTGGGCAGTTGAAGACAACCCTTTACGCATTATTACTAAACTTCTCTATAGTTACTGGCGTCTTCCGGATTATATTTATTCTACTCTGAACCAGTCCGGTTTATTGAAGGCTTCTTTAAGGTCAGTATCATTTGTCAACGACCTTTGGAGAGCGATATTTAAGTTACTCGAGGGACTATTACAGGTGAACAGAAGGGGCAAATGGTGAGGGCGCGGTACGGAAGAAAATGAATTGAACAAAGGTTGAGATATCTAAGCCTTAGAGCACTTATCACTAACAACCCCGCTCGATGCAAAGAGCAGCGCGATCCTGATTATCCTGCGCGACAACTGATGCCGTATGGAATTATTTTTAGTATGTATGTGCACTTCGGTTCGATGAACGGGTACTGCCATGATTTCAAACCCCGAGGCAGGAGAATTGTTAGGGTTCTCAATCAAAGCCTGCTGCTTTCCACCTTGATAATAGGTAGTTAGTTCACATATTTTTTTCGTGGTACTACTCCTCCGAAAAATATGCCGCAAAATGGCATCCGCAGTGCCACTGAACTGATTCCCTTATGCGACATTCAGTGGCAGGCGTATGGTACTTTTCCCGGATTCTTCATGAATTCGTCAGTGGAGAAAACTGTTCCTCAAGCTGTAGAAAATCGCGGATCAATATTAAGCAAACGTGGGTGGAATACTTTAATCATCTCCAATTAATGGATAACTGTAACTCATTTTTATCACCACCTGTATCATTCACTAAACTTTCAGGATCGAACGGATGCAATCAGAATGTGAAGAGATGCGACGGGTTGATCGGTGAAACAATAAGGATAAGAACCTATACGATGAAGCTGAGTAGTGAAAGAAGCTGCAGGTGAAATAGTTTTTCCATTGGCATTNAATAATCCCGGGAATGACAGAGGAAAATGTGTTTTCTGTTAGCTGGTGATTCGGTTCGAATTTGACCTTAGTATTCATGTGAAAACTGTTAATTCTTTCACTGTACTCTTGTACCATTGTTATGCATCTCGTCAAGCATGCATTTCAATGTCAGAAATAGGTAAGCAATCGCACTGGATTCAAAGAAATCGGTGTTATTTGAGGGAATCACGGCCCCACTGAAATTTACTCACTAGGATATCGAGGGCTTAGATTGAATCCACTCATGCGATGATTCATCCCCACATTTACGTCAGGGCATGGTGACCGATTCATCGATCCTTCTCGACGTGACTCGCTTCCGTATCCGACCGATAGAAGTCAATTAACGCCGGGTTCGTTCATTCAGGTCTATGATGCACACCTGATCAACGAACACGAACATAAAGTTCCAGGGGGAAGAACAGTCCACCCTATCCTCTCTTGTGTTGTTGTGTCGTGTTGTCCGTTGTGATTAGCGATCTTGTTTTCGTCTCGCTCAGTAACTCTCTCAAAAAGTACTTGTGTTTGTTTTCGGAGAAGTGAGCTTTTCAGACTGGTTGGGGTTTAGACAGACCCGGTCCAATCGGTGACGTTTGACTGCCGAAACACCAATCATCTTGTGGGGTTCCCAATGGGATGCAATTGAATTCACTTGAAGTTTTAAACGTATAGGTACACAACATTTTCGCATGCTGGCTCAATTTTCTCTCTCGACATTGTACCCTTTTGTATGGCAACCCTCTGATTGACCGCTTCCCCCTTTCCGAAAATTGTATCTTTGTATATTAAATAAAAAGAAGTAAAATAAAAAAGATAAAAAATACCCACTGCTAGTGACAATGCACCTTTCTTTCCAAGCATGACACTGTTATATTTCGTATAGCGCCTCAACCAAGCTGACGCTCGCAACAGCTTATACCAATGAGCATTATAAGCAAGCAAATAACGTTTCTGGAGACAGTTATTTAGTAATGATGACTGTCCGGATTAGCTCATCCTGCCGTTCGATTTCTTCAGTAGGAACTAATTCAAAGGCGGAATCTCTACTAGACTTCTCAGGAATGGCGGACCTCGCGGCCAACTTCCCCACTTCGGGTGATCCGCCTTCAGTCCGCGAGTGCCATGGTCTGCAGGATGATTTGTCCCCTTTACGCGGTAGCATTGCTGCGGTATTGGGATTTCATGTATTATAGCCCATCGGTTGGCTATATATATGTGCTATAACGAGCTGAATGTTTTTTATATAACAAAGCACGGTTCTTGAATCAGTCCAGTAGAACGTAGGCCCTTCTCTAATATCCAACTCTCGGCCTATGGTATCACATAACTTAATCGCGGCAAAGGCAGCCGTCAGCTCCTGTCTAGGTATAGCAACTGCTTTAAGTCGAGGCACACCGAATTTAGCTATTACCAGGTTGTATGCCATTTATGTTGTCGGCTGCGGCCCCGTTAGCCGATTCAGACGCGTCACTGAATGTGTACAGTTGGGCTGACTCACGGACTCTTTGGTTTTCACTCCCCGTACCATGGTCCAATTACGTTCGGTGAGCGCTTCTATATTAACTGAAACATTTCGATCCCGTAATGAACTTGAACAGGCAAGTCAGAAGACAAACACTGCGAGAGGAATTCCTTTCGTATACTCTCATCGGTCGCGTACGTATAACATCGAACAAGATAGACAAATGAAGCCAATTAACAAATCTAGTCAGTATTACCCGTGTGTGTGGTTGTGTACAGTGTGTGTGATGCACGTGATTGGTTACAGCCAGGGAAGGACAAGGGTAAAGGTCATAAGTTTTTGGATGCACAGTGTGAGTTTGTTGTGAGCGATCGATAGTGCTTCGAGTATCCTTAGTCCATGTTTGTCTCGATGACGTAACAAAACGGAGAACGCGTTCGTAAGATCTACCCTGTGGCCGCTTTCAACCAAGTGACGTGCGGTGGCCGAAGTCGGCCCCGTTAGCCGATTCAGACGCGTCACTGAATGTGTACAGTTGGGCTGACTCGCGGACTCTTTG